ATCTGAAAATTTTGCACATTTTATCTTTGAGATTATACAGACATACAACCTGAAATTGTAGCTGCATCCATGGGTCCAGAGCTCAAAAGAAAGGTCAGAATGAAAAAAAAAATGTATGGATATGGAAGTCATTGCATTTTTATAAATGAAATAATAGGACTACTTCAGGAAGAGGCTAGAGAGTGGAAAAGAATGTTAAGGATCAGCAATATTCAGGGGACAGGCAAAGGATATGGGTACAGAAAAGAAGATAGAGGGGTGACCAGAAAGATTGAATGAAGGGCAAGGAAGTGAAGGATAACAAAAACAAAGGAAAAGGAGCTCTATTGAGAAGGCAGGGTTGAATACTCTAGAGAGGTCAAGATGGGTATTAGCAGGCAATCATCTGAATTTGTCAATTAAGAGCTCATTGTTATATTCCATGCTTTTATAATTATGTCAAAATGAATCCTATCATCACATATAACTAAAAAGAGTCAATAATAAATAAGGCTCATCGTTGACCTTACAAGGGTAGATAGCTAAGATAGAAGCCTTAACAGGTATCAAGTGCAGAGGAGGAAATGTGGTAGAAAAAGGTAGATAGATGGAGTCCAAGAGGCAGATAGCTCAGGAGCTTAAATCCCAGCTCCACCACGTACTAGTATATTGTTCAACATCTCTGTGCCTCTGTTCATTTGTAAGATGGAGATAACGGTAGATAACATCATATGGTTGTTGGGAGGCTTACATGAGCTTAATATAAAACACAGTACAGTGCTTAGCACATGAGAGGTACAATACTGTATCTATTGGTTCAGAATAGGAAAGGTTAACCACTGAAGGTGTATCAGACAGAAAGGCTATTAGGTGTCTACCAAAACCTAGGGCTATAGAAGTAGGAATCAAGGGACTTCCAGTGACCTAACGGCTTCAAGTTCATCCCACTGCAGTTGGAATCTAAATGTCATGAAGCTACTGCTGCTACTACTGCCCATGAATGCTGGCTGTCACATAGCCTCTCACCCACAAAGGTTTAGTAGACATATTGGAATGTGGAATACAGAAGCCACAAACATGTATTTAGAACTGCCTACAGGCCACCATGCTCCAAGAGAGCTCCTGCCTAATTTAAGTACTCCAAATCTCATTGGCAGAAATTAAAATGCATCAGAATCCTCATTTTATACAGAAATATAGCTGCAAGGAATTCTCATAAATGTACTTTTTGGCCTTTGTTAGCAGGAAGATAAATAAAAAAGGGATAGGAATGGATGGTGGATAGCAAGGGATCCTACACAGCTCGTCTACCTTTAGGTAGAACAAATGTTTTCTTCCTGACAGATGACACTAGCCTTTGACCATGGACAAAATAGAGGATCTCACTGATCAAAAAAGTCATATAAAATATAAAGATAGACAAGGACAAGACTAAAGATCAAGAGATAAGCTTGAACGGGGAAAATAAATGTATCCTTTTTTAGTACTAAAAGGGAAATGATGAGAAGAGGTACAAATAGTTTATAATTTGGGGCCAAAATAATAGAGGTAGGGAAGTTAAGAAAAGTTCAAATTCATGGGCAGATGATATTTGCTCCCTACTTTACAGAGATAATACATGCCATGAAATAGAATCTTCCCTGAGTAGAAAAGGTAAAGATAGGCTAGGGGTCCCAATGAGACTGGACAAGCAAATAATTGTAACCCCTAACTAAAAACCATCTATATTCCTTCTCACCATTTCCAAAGGAAATGAAATTAGAATGTCAAAGAGCTATCTGCACTCCTGTATTTATTGCAGCACTATACATAGTAGCCAAGTTGTGAAACCAGAGTAGGTTTCCATCAACAGATGAAAGGATAATATGATATACGTACACACAATGGAATACTATTCATACTTAAAAAGAAAGAAATGCTGTCATTTATGACAACATGGATGAACCTGGAGGACATTATGCTATGTAAAATAAGCCAGGCACAGAAAGACAGATATGGTATGAACTCACTTTATATGCAATCTAAAAGAATCAAACTATGAGAATCAATAAATGGGGTGGCATCAATATGAACATCATATTAAGTGAAATAAGCCAGACACAGAAAATCAAGGGTCATATATTTTCTGTCATATGCCCTTCAGTAGATGGATAAAGAAACTGTGATATATATATATGTGTGTGTGTGTGTGTGTATAGTTTTATATATATATAAACTAGAGATATATAAAGGACAAAAGGGTGATTTTCACAAGAATAGAAGGGAGATCAGCAGAGTAGAGGATGGGAATTAAGAGGGAGGGAATAAGGAAGGGAAAGAGGAGGTACTGAGCAATGAAATTTACCAAATTATGTATTTATATAAATGTATCCAATGAACCCACTATTTTGTAAAACTATATGCACCAATAAAAAAGGAGAAGTAAATAAAGATGGTTCTGTCTCTCGCTTTAAAAAAAAAAAAGAAGAGGTACATATGGCTGACAATTATATGAAAAAAATGTTCAGCTTATCAGGGAAATGCAAATCAACATTTTACTGAGATTCCATCTCATTCCAGTAAGACTAGCAGCCATCAAGGATAAAAATAACAGTGCCTAATAGAACAAAAAGTAGGCCCAAATCTTCATCATGTCAGATTAGGTCCTGACTTCCTTCACCAGACTCCTAAAACACAAGAAAAAAAAAATCAAGAATCAATTGCTTCTCGGCCTTTTGGCTAAGATCAAGTGTAAGAATCAATAAATAGGATGGATTCTAACTAAAAAGCTTCTTCTCAGCAAAGGAAATGATCAATAGTGTGAAGAGAGAGCCCACAGAGTGGGAGAACTTCTTTACTACATGCACACCAGATAGAGCACTAATCTCTAGGATATATAAAGAACTCAAAAAACTTAACACCAAAAAAAAAAATAACCCAATCAATAAATGGACAAAGAAACTCAACAGACATTTCTCAGAAGATATACAATCGATCAACAAGTATATCTCAGTCCAGTCAGAATGGCAATTATCAAGAATACAAGCAGCAATAAGTGTTGGTGGGAATGTAGGGGGAAAAGGTACACTCATATAGGGCTGTGGTTGTAGTTCAGTGGTAGAACACTTGCCTTGTACATGTGAGGCACTGGGTTCGATCCTCAGCACCACATAAAAATAAAATAAATAAAATAAAGGCATTGTGTTCACCTACAACTAAACAAGAAATTTTTTTTTAAAAAAAGGCACACTCACACATTGTTGGTGGGACTACAAATTGATGCAACCAATCTGGAAAGCAGTATGGAGATTCCTTAGAAAACTGGAATGGAACCACCATTCAAGACAGCTATCCCACTCCATGGTCTATACCCAAAGGACTTAAAATCAGCATACTATAGTAATGCAGCCACATCAATGTTTATAGCAGCTCAATTCACAATAGCTAAATTATAGAACCAACCTAGATGCCCTTCAGTAGATGGATAAAGAAACTGTGGTATATATACTCAATGGAATATTACTTGGCATTAAAATAGAATAAAATTATGGCATTTTCAAGTAAATGGATGGAGTTAGAGAATATCGTGCTAAGCATAGTAAGCCAATCCCCTAAAAAACCAAGACCAAATGTTCTTCTGATAAGTGGATGCTGATCCATAATGGGGGGGAGGGGGTATGGGAAGAATGAAGGAACTGAGACCCATCTCAGGAGAGAGGGGAGGGGAGGGAGCATGGGGGTAGGTAAGATGGTGGAATGAGATGGACATTATTATCCTAAATATATTTATGATTGCACAAATGGTGTGATTCCGCATCGCTTACAACCAGAGAAATGAAAAGTTGTGTTCCATTTGTATACAATGAAACGAAATACATTCTGCTGTCATGTAAACTAACTAGAAAAAAATAGAAAATAAATAAAGTTAAAAAAAAGAATACAAATAACAAAGCTAGGTGTGGTGGCACATGCCTATAATTCCAGTGGCTTGGTAAACAATAGGTAGGCAGGAGGATCACAAGTTCAAAGCCAGCCTCACCAACTTAGCGAGACACTAAGCAACTTAGTGAGACCCTGTCTCTAAATAAAATATAAAAAGAGGCTGGGGATGTGGCTCAGTGGTAAAATGCCCCTGGATTCAATTCCTGATACTCTCCATATATATATATATACTGGCAAGCATGTGTGGGAGGAAGGTGATACTATAAATCAGTCCAGCTACCATGGAAATAGTACAGAGGTTCCTCAAAAAACTAAACATGGAACAACCATATGATATAGCCATACCACTTCTCAGTGTTTATCCAAAGGAACTAAAGGAGTTTTATAAAATAGAACAAAATTATGTCATTTGCAAGAAAATAAATGGAACTGGAGAGAATTATGTTAAGTGATATAAGCCAGACTCAGAAAAACAAGGGTCATATATTTTCTCTCTTATATGGAAGCTATAGGGTAAAAAAGAAATCTCTTGTGAAAAGTAGAAGGAAATCATGGACAGAGGAAGAGGATCAGGGGAGGGAAGAAGGAAGGCAAGGAGAGGTATTAAGGAGTGAAACTGATCAGATTATTTGCATGTATGAATATGCTGCAATGGAATCCATTACTCTGTACAATTAATGTACACCAATAAAAATTTCAAGTGAAACTCTCAGAAGTAGAGAATAGAATGGTGGGGAGATGAAGAAATGCTCATCAAAGTGAACAAAGTTTTAGTTAGGAGGAATGAGTATGTGAGACCATTGTAAAACACGCTGACTACAGCTAATGATAATTTATGATGTATTTCAAAATAGTTAAGAGAGAGTTTATAAATGTTCTCACCACAAAGCTATGATGACTATTTGAGGCAAGAGACATGTTTGACAGCTGATATGATCTACCACAATGTGTGTGTATATATATATATTGAAACACCATACTATACCCATAAGTACATACAATTATTTTTCAATTAAAAATAAAATGAAACTTTAAACAATTAAAAGTGAAAAAAAAGAAATCTTTCTTCACTCCACCTAGAAAAAATAGAAACAAGTCACTTATGTTATAAAGCACTGTTTATTCTTCTTTATGGAAAATGTCAATTTTAAAAGTTTTTAAACTAAAAACAAGTTAGAAAATTTGCGCTTGTGTAAGAAGGGACATGACAGAGAAGAAACTGAGAGGCCTCTAAAGGCAGCAGTTTAGTTACAGAGGAACAAGAACCCATTTATAGAGTATTGTAAACAACACAGCTATGAAGACACTTCTCTCGGGTTAACATGGCTTCATTTCCTTTATATTATTGTTTAGTGTATGAACACGGACAGCTCTCTGCACAAGCTTCATTACCCAGAGTACCAAGGGCCTCTCATCAGAAGGGCCAAGTCCCCAAAACATGCATATGTACATATCACTTTAAAATAAAGATCTTTCAATATCTTAAGCAATCAACTAAAATATTTTATAATCACAAAAACGTTTCCTATGGATATACTTTGCACATTTATTGCAAGCCATTAACTAATGCAGACAGGGCAGATGTGAAGATCTGTGTTGTTATTGTTTTAATTTTGAGGTGAAAGATGTCATATCTAAACTTCTGTGCTTAAAAACCGAACAACAACCATTCTTAGAAATATTCACTATTCACCTTCCGAAGATGCCTGTGTGTGATTGGCTGATGTTGGATTGTGGATGCTGTAATTTCTGCCATGCAGCAGGCACACAGAAGCCCTGTACCATAAAGCTATGGAACCCTGAGACTCTCAGTGCCAGAAAGCAAAAGGGCTCCTCAGCAAGCTGAGGGATTCAAGTTCCAAGTTTGATTTTTAAACATTTGCAAATTGCACATTTATTAGGAATTCATCAAATGTATCTGTGCAGGACAACTTTTATCAGCCTATTGACCGTTTGCCTTTCTTTCCAGTAACGGTCCCCATCTGTCCAAATGTCCCCTGTCTAGGTGGGAAGGAGGAGTGGGCTGTATTACTCTGTCTTATAGTCTTGGATAGACATTGAATTGAGCTGAATTTGGATGTGCACTGTTCTTTTGTGACTCTCATCTAAACCTGGTTTCTCACAATTCTAATTTCTGGGATACTTACAAAATCAATGGTCTGATTCAATAAGTAACTTGAGTAAATCAGTTTCAAATAATCAGCATCACTAGGAACCAACAGAGCTACTAGAGGAGCCCTTTCATTCTGGATATACAAACTGGACCAACTTCACATTTCTGCAAATAATTCTTACAGTCCTACTCAAAAGAGGCTAATTATTATTACAACTTCTCATGGTGTAAAGGGGAAAGCAATAAAGTGAGTGACATGTCTATTAGGGCACAATATCTTCTCAATGTAGATTCTTTCAAAGAATGAGAGGTTGCAGTTTGAATATGCAATGTCAAATAACCACTCACATTCTAAGTTCATTTTTTTAAAAAGTAAGCAAAGCACATACATACTAGTTTACACAGCACTCAATATGGTTGGCTAAAAGCACAGGAGAAATATAGAACTTACACACTAGGCAGAAGGCTTGGAGGAGGTAACCCCATCATGCACTAGGAAGAGCTGGTCAACACTGCAGTTGAAGGAGGATTGCCTAATGTAATTTGCTGCTGGATTTGGTGTTGGCATGAATGACCAGAGCTTCTGCTCCACCTAGTTAAAATGTACACCAGCACAAAAAATATCAGGGTACTATAGTTTTCTTGGTCTTGTAGACAACATAGGGCAATAGTTTTAAATGGTGTGATTGAAGGGTGGCATGTGACAGTCTAGGAATAGTCGGGTAGATCCCTACTCTACTCATAGCTCAGGAAGATTGCCTTCAGTAAATCAGGTACTGAGGAGCAGCTGAGCACAGGAAGTGAAGAGGGAAACTTGGGTTCATAATTATTACTCCATGGCCAGCTACTTTATGAAAACAGTCAACCCAACAAGCATGACCAGAGGGCAATGGCTATTGCAGAGGCACTGCGAAATGAAGGCCATCTGAAGAACACTGAAGCCATTTGCCTACATTAGCTTTTCTCTTCTTATTGAAAGAAGAAGATGCTGGGGTCACTTCTACCACCACCTTCTGCTTTTTCCCATTGAAAAGAAAAACCAATCAATCAATAATCGATCAACGGCAAACACCCAAACACACAGAATCACACACACATATACCTGAGCACATTCACACATATACACACAGAGAGAGACTCAAACACAAAACAGAAGCCATAGAAGTGAGCAAAATGAGTCAAATCATTCAGCCAGACATTGAAGATGCACCAAAAGCACAATGCCCAGCCGCACAGTGATGGTTATGGAAGAATCGGGGTCTTGCTACTGGATTCAGCTCGAATGCACTCATCTGTTTGCTTCAACAGCCTCCGGACCAGTTTTTCTAGATCCCTTCTTGACTTCAATTCTTCTTCCAGGCACTGCTTCATTCTTTTATTCTCCTACAATGGAAAAAGATCTGTCAATTACTGAACAGAGCGAGCCTTTCCCAGGCTCTTCCTGCTAATCTTCTTGGCACCCTTTACCTGTGATTACACTTTTTCTTTCTCAAACTCTGTTCCTGCAGCTTCTAAGACAAAGCAATTTTCTCACATGCCTCTGCCCAACCCTTTCCATTCCTCTTTACTGAAATACAAGCATTCTTTTCATTTAACACTCCTGTCACTTAGTGTCTTCTCTTTCAACCCAAGTGTCTACTAAGGGACCTCCCAAATAACTCTGGTAGTGGTCACTCATGTCTAGCTACCAGCTCCCTGCTGCCCTGCGCATGGTGGGCTGGCATCGGGCCCAGGGAAAGCAGAGCAGGTCTGCGGGGCCCAGTGTTGCAGCAGTGCACCTGGCTGTAAGAATCCAGAGGAGGGGGAGAAGGCAAGGATAGGCCCAGGAAAACAAAGAAATGGAGCAGCCTGTGCAGAATGGAGAGGAAGACCGCCCTTTGGGAGGAGGTAAAGGCTACCGGCCTGCAGGAAATAATAGATGGGGAAAGGCCTGCCAACTTGCCCCTAATTTTCGGTGGGCCATACCCAATAGGCAGATCAATGATGGGATGGGAGGAGATGGAGATGATATGGAAATGTTCATGGAGGAGATGAAAGAAATCAGGAGAAAACTTAGGGAACCGCAGTTGAGAAATTGTCTTGGTATTCTTAAGGGGGAGCTCTCTAATCACCATGACCATCATAATGAATTTTGCTTATGCCTTGACTTCTGCAATTTTCCATGAGATTAATACTTTGATTCCCCCTGTTTTCCTTTTCCTTGCATTTTCCCTATATGCCTTTACTGATCTTTTTGCTGTGAACCTTGTTATTTCCATGTGTCAAGTGGGTCTTACGTTGCCAGCTTCTGATGAAGATTGCCTTTGCACCCAGCCTAAGTTTCTGCCAGCAGTAGAGTTTTACCCATTTGCATGGAAAAATTTAAAGTTAATAAAGCAGTTAAAAAGTAAAATAACAACAACAACAACAACAACAACTCTGGTAGTGACCCCATCTCCTGAGCACAATGTCCACAACCCCAAATGCCAGCTTGGTATTTCTACCTAAGAGGTTCCAATCACATCAAACTCCCTAGGGATCCACAAACCATGATTGATGGTTCACTTTACATTTATATGCTGTTGTGATTTGAATAAGAGTTGTCCCCTGAAAGTACCTGGATTAATGCAGGAATGTTCAGAGATGAAATAGATTAGGAGATCTGAAACCTAACTCGTGTATTAATCCATCCATTTTATAGATTAATAATTTGAATGGACTAACTAGGTAGTAATTGTAAGCAGGTAGCATAAAGCTAGAGGAGACAGGTCACTGGGGATATGTCTTTGGGGTTTATATTTTGGATCCTCAGTCTCTTTCTCTCTGCCTCTCGGCTGCTATGAGCTGAACAGCTTTCCTCCAGTAGGTTCTTCCACTATGTTATTCAGCTTCACTCAGGCCCAAAGCAGTGGAGTTAGTAGACCATAGACTGAGACCTCTAAAACCATGAGCCCAAAATAAACCTCCCCTAAGTTGTTCTTGTCAGGTATTTTGGTCACAGCAATGAAAAGCTGACTAACACACACACACACAATTGATTGATATGCCTTTCCTGAAGCTCTGTTTACAGATGTCAAAACAAAATAATCATAACTAAGTTTGGAACCCTATTTCAAATTGATAAGTAGGAATATAAGTAAGCCTCAGAAATCTAAACTCCAGGCCATATAGCAAAATCAATAAAACCCACCTTGATGACACAAGGAAAATAAAAATTCCCCCTTATCACCTTGCTCCTGGGCCTTTCCTGACAGCATCTCCCAGTGGGCAGCAAGGAAGATGGAGAGGTTCTGTTATCAGAGAAAATGACTTTTAATTTTATTACCTGCTTCAGTTCTTTGACTTCATCCTTCAAGGCATAAACAGTATCAACGAGGCTTCTAGAACATAAAGAGAAAATTCACAGATGAACGACTGGCACCAACATACAATTAAGTAATACTTAACTCCATAAACATATGGATCCTGGGAAGCAGTATATCTCTAGCCAGTGGGGAATAGGACTGCACTGACTAGTCCTTGCTTTCTTTTCATGGAAGAACAACTGCTGCATTCCAGAGCCGTGTAATGCACCTTCTCTGTAATTCCCTCCTCCTTGGCTACTCCCAGCTTGTATAACCAGAAAACAAGAGACTTAGACTATCATAAAGTTTTTCCCACCTTGAAATACAATTAACAAATAAAAATTGTCTATATTTAAGGTATACAAATAAAAAATTGTATATATTTAAGGTGTCTGGTGAGAACACTTATAATCTACTCTCTTAGAACACTCCAAATATATAGTACTGTATTGTTAATTTAGACCCCATGCTGTACATGAAGTCTACCAAAAAGTACTGATCCTGCCTAACCAAAACTTCATATCCTTTGACCAACAAGTTCCCATTTCCTCTACACCATGACAGCTTCCAGCAACCATTTCTCTGCTTCTATGAGTTTAACTTTTTAGATTCCCATCATAAGGTTTGGATTTCTGTGGCTTTAAGGCAGGAATGAATATCACTTAATGTATAATGAGAAGTGTCAGAAGGCCCTGTCCATACTACAGTAGCTCTGCTAAACCATTGCCTTTTTCACTTACCTGACCATAACTGACCTCACATGACACAAAATCAGGGCATTATTTCTGGACTATTTCATATGTTACAAAAAATGAGGAAGTACCCTGGATAAACTGTGAAGCAGTCTTTCCTCTCAGGCTCTATCCCTGAACAAGGAGTTTAGAGATCTACATTCCAGTTCAGATCCTGCCACTTACTAGTCTTTTAACTTTGGATAATCAGCTTCCTTCTCATCTTCTCTTGGTTTTAGTTTCTTTGCATATAAAATGGGGATAAAAACCACATTCCCTGAAACTCTAGGAAAATTGTGAAGACGAATATAGATATAATAAAATTTATTATTATTATATTTATGTACTGAGTACTAGCTTTTATACTTAACTATAATTGTTCATACAACAACTTTAAAAGCATTGCTATCATTCATATTGTTCATTTGAGGAAACAAGTCCAGAGAGGTGAAGGAAGTAGCACCAGGTCATACAACTAATGAGTAGCAGAATCAAGAGTTGAACCAGGCCTGGGCGTGCATGCGTGTTCTCGCTCTCTCTTTCTCACTTGCGCTCTCTCTCTCTCTCTCTTAATTGTAGATGGACACAATATCTTTATTTTATTTATTTATTTTGATGTGGTGCTGGGGATGGAACCCAGTGCCTCGCACATGCAAGGTGAGCACTCCACCACTGAGCCACAACCCCAGCCCAAGTGCTTTACCATTTCTGCCATATCACTTTATACACCAGATATAAGAATACGTAATGATGTGAAGCACTTTGAAATGTGCTATCTTGTGCAAATTCAGGTCTGACTTCAGAAGTGACTCAAGATTAAACAAATTAATTTTAACTACTTTGTATTTATTTTATGAGCCATAAGGTATCTATCCTCCAAGTCATACTTACTTCTGTGAAAGGTAGATCAGAGACTTAATTTCCCTGAATCTCAGCTTCCTCATCTGTAAAAGTGGTGAGAATCATGTTCGTCTCACTGGATTACTGTAGGACTTTGAGGTCAACCATGTGAAAGACTAGCCCTGACTCAAAAAATGTGAGAGGCACCCCTGTAGGCAGGGAAATCACAGCTATGGCATTCCTATATACCTTCCAGAGCACTGAACTCTTGGGTGCTCTGAAGCACATTACTTTCTGGGGGAGCTGGCTGCAAATGAAATTGTTCTGGAGGATTTTGGTCCTTCCACCATTCCTTTCCCCTTTTTCTTTCCCTTTGTAAGGGAGATATCCCTCCCAAGGCCCCCAACTGCATGCTCAGCAGAGGACTAGACTTTCTTTCCAGCCCCTGGAAAAAACAGGAAAGATGTCACCTGCTCTACTCACTTTTCTTCAATTATGGTCTGGCCATTGCTTCTGGTTTCTTCAATGATGAGTTTCTCTTCCTCAGGGAGTAAGACTTGTGGAACAGAATCTTTGCGAGCACCTATAAATGAGGGTTGCCAGAGGGATAAATGACTAGGAAAGATTACTTGTAAGAATTAGTTCTTTTCCACTATCATTATGGTTGGGTCTTTGTTCATAACATCCTGCTACCTTGTACTCAGAGATGAATATTTACTGATTATTTTTCCTGGCACAAGAAATTCTAAATGCCAAAATATATTACTTAATTTGGAGGGGGCATTTTGCATTCAGAAAAATAACATGAAATGATCACTGTAATAGTTGTTCTCAATCAAGACTCCCAGAATTTCCTGTTTTGCCCACTACAGCAAAGAGCTAACTAGCAATTGCTCCATGCCTGCAGTTCTCTAGGACATTCACACCACGTCCTATGCTATGCTATTCTATAATTTTAGTAAAGTTCAGGTTGAAAGCAGCACTGCATTAGACACAATGCTCTTGAAGGGTTCCAGAAGCAGCATTCCTGCTCATTTCTTTTCTTTGTGGTCCTAAAGGGGAATGGTGGGTCACTTAAACTGTTTTTGGGGAGGTACAGGGAGTTGAACTTAGGGGAACTTAACCACTAAGCTGCATCCCCAGCCCCTTTTTGTATTTTATTAGAGACAGGGTCTCACTGAGTTGCTAAGCATCTCACTGTTGCTGAGGCTGCCTTTGAATTTGCAGTCCTCCTGCCTCAGCCTCCAGAGCCACTGGGATTACAGGCATGTGCCACCATGCCCAGCCACTTAAGACTATTTTGATCCTGGGTAGAATGAGATCATCATGCGAGCAGAAAAGCTTCAAGTGTCCACACTTCTCTCTGCTCAGACTGTCTCCAGGCAATGGCACAGTAAAGGTGACAAAACAGACATGAAGGCCTGACCAAACAGCTCTCCTGAATCTTCAACTTCCTCCTCATTCTGGATCCTTCCTCTATGAGCTCAATTGCTTAATCCTTGGTCTCTCTGAGATGCTGGCCAAGTTCCTTCAGAGTTGTGTAAACTCACTGCCTTCACTTGATCATGCCCTGCTTTCATGAGGTAAGATGTGTCTCTACATTCTCCAGGGAATAGCACTTTGTAGATACATAATAAGTGTACAGAAGACTGGCTAACTGATAAATAAATGCAGCAAAAACAAAGAGCAGTCAGTTCCTGGGAAACAGGACATCTGACTGGGCTTGGCATCTGTCAAACATGCAAAAGAGAGGCTAAGGAGAAGGGGCATAACGTGGCTATATTCAGGCTAGGACATCTGCTTACACCTTCGCTTGTGAGTAGATGGGTTAACACTATGGAAGTGAAAAGAAGTGGTGGGGGACAGAGATGAGGTCAGATTCTATAGGAATATGCTCCTTCTGGTGTCTGCTTGTCTGCCTTGTACTCCTAACTTTCACAATAAAAACTGCTCTGACATTTTTCTTCTGCATCCTCCAAACTTGTTTTCAAAACTGGGCATGCCTGAAGTCACAGCCAGGTTTTGTCTGTGAAGCAGAAAGTGTCCCTTCATGATCAAATGGTTGACTTCCATGTGGAATTCTTTCCTCTTGACAGACTCAGATACTTTGAAAGAATATGTGAAAGCCGTCTGCCTAAAAAATCCCCTCCCACACCAAGTGATTGATAAGTGGCTGTTCAAATGGAGCATTGTGGGGCATTTGTTTCTTATGCAAATGTGAAAACCTTACAATCAGTATCTTGAATGTCCATGATAATGGCAGACAAAAGACATTATCCATGTGACCTGGCTTTTATAAAGCACAAAGATGCATCAGAAAACATAATCCAGCTTTCATTTTGTAGCCTGCAAGTTGTGTAGGGAAATAACCTCACCTCAGAGCTCCCTGATCAATCTCATACATTTTGAATAGCCCTGCCAGACTGCTACATATCCAGATTTTCAGAGAAACTTTGAAACTTGATTCTGGTGAAGCATTGTTTGTTTAAAATGCAGCTGATCAAAGATAGTATTTTGACTTCCTTTCCAAATCTGCCTCTAACATGAGATTAGCATCAGTTCACAGACACAGGAACTCTCTGGGCTCTTTAATTCCTAACTAGTGCTGGTGCAGGTATCTGTGTACTTCAAAGGAGAATGAATGGCTTTTTCAAATTGTTTTCATTTCGATCACCTCCAACTTTTTCCCTCTTGCATCTCTTTCTCTCTGGGTGAAAAGCAACAGTGGTAAACAAACCGCTCAGTAGCTAAAACCGCCTTATCTGAAAGATGCAGTCCTGCACCGCTCCTCTGCACTCAGTCACCTGCTTTCCACACCCTGCAACCCCATATGCATTGCCCCTCCCTCCCCCGCTCTCTCCCCTAAGAGGCAGTGAGCAATAAAGGAAGAAACACCAGTCATTAGAGAAAGTAGTTTGAAAGAATCTAGTTGAGGCATTACCTTGTTGAAAATTGGCGCTGGTGCAGTAGGCTTCGATCACCTTAAGAATCTGCGCATCTTCTTCCAGAGCAGCTGTACCTGTCAAATTGAATTAAAAAGGACTTCATAGATCAATGCTTCTGAACCCTTAAAATGATGCAGCACACTTCACCACCAAGGACCAACCTCTCTGATGAGTAATGTTTCTAAAAGGCAGTAGAAACAACTATTAGATCCTCATGCTAGAGAAGAGTGATAGCAACCCCACAGAGCTCTGCACTGAGAGAGGCCTGCTCCTGCAGCCCAGAACTCTAAATTGGAGAGTCCTGTTTGCCATTTCTTGGAGGCCAAAATCACAGTGTGGACTTGATACTGGCTTCAGCTCTCACCCAATATACCACAACCTTCCTCTCCTTCAAATTTCAAGGCTCGACTTCTCTAGAAAACTTTCCACATTAACCCCCATCCATCTTTCCAACCAGCTGGCATATTCATTGACTGTCCCTCTTCTCACCCATCTCCCCAACTCATTCTTGAAATGACTGGAAGGCACCCTGTTAATAAGTTGATGAAAACACTTAAGGTGTGTGTGGGGGATGAGGCATGCAGAAGTTAGAATCCAGCAAGAATTCATCCAAACTATAATTTTTACTAATGCACATAGTACTACCTCCTGTTTCAGACTTGCTTTTTTTACATGAGTCTCAAAGTACCTTGTCCACAGTATTATAGCCAAATAGGTATGTATGATTGGCTAACTGGCTTTACAGCTTGCCTCTAAATAAAGCCCTGTTTCTAGATGTCAGTAGGCCAATTCCTTGACGGAAAACATCACTGAGCTTTAGACTTCCTGAAAGGCTTCAGTATTCAGATCTATTTAGTCTACACTGTACAGGAAAACATTTCAGCCATCAGAAACTAAGAGGAAGAAATATGCATCCTTAGCAAATGAGTCCCGTTAGCAGTTCTAAACCAGGTGGGGCAAAATGTTCGGTGTCATAAAAATAATGTAGATGATGTCTGCCTAAGATGACAAGAAGTACTTATTTAAAAGTCTTAGAGATGACTAAACCTATCCATGCATTTATGTAACTGATGCCAAGAACAAACTGCTCTGATCATGTGCTTTGAAAAAATTCTCATGTTAGTTCATCCATAAATAACTTTAAGAAAATACAAAACACATACTTTTTCTAATTACATATTCCTCCTCTGATGGTTTTCTCTCAGTCTTTCTTTTATGAAGAAACTTCTTCATTGTTTTGGGGCTTTTACTGGACTCCTGTAAGGATAAAGTTCTCTTAATGAATTAAAATTCTCTCCCAAATTCAAATTAAAATAGAGCAAATTAAACACAATAGAATACCTTTCTCTTATTTTGATAGTTAGGAGTGCATCAGAATTTAATACTTTACATAATAAAAATGACTCAAATAAACTCTATAAGGTTAGATAAAATACAGGCAATGATATTATCCTCTCAAGTGCCATAACAATGAGAATAAGAATGGAGACAGTCTACTAAAGATGAGGCCAAATGCCTTTAGGGTACCATCTGCAGAGAAAGTAATGGGTACCAACCCTAGAAAAAAAATAATAATATTTTTAAATTGGTTTATGTTCTCCACTGATACCATTTGAAGGGAATTAAATAATAACTGTGGCTAACAATATAGCATTTATCACTTTTCAAGAGCTTCAAAACTACTTTTAAGAGTATTTTTAGCAACAGCACCACAAAAAAATATAACGTTCGTTTGTCAGATGAGAAAGATTAAGACAGAGAGATTAAGTAATTTTTCCAAACTCAGAGAGAAGAGCCAAGTGAAGCATTTTCCAATAAATGATTGGGTTAAGAGTAATATACCGGGCTGGGGATGTGGCTCAAGCAGTAGCGCACTTGCCTGGCATGCGTGTGGCCCGGGTTCGATCCTCAGCACCACATACAAACAAAGATGTTATGTCCGCCAAAAACTAAAAAATAAATGTTAAAATTCTCTCTCTCTCTCTCTCTCTCTCTCTCTCTCTCTCTCTCTTTAAAAAAAAGAGTAATATACCGACAGACAAGCTGACCTATATATGTATAAAGCCATACTTTGAATTAGTAGACAGTGGAGAAGAGAATGACTAAATTTGCTTTTGCTTTAAGAATGATGAGAAAATTGAAAAAGAGTGCTCATTGTCAATATCCAAGCAAATGGATTAAATCTTACATTAAGGAAAAATTGTCATGATTACCTTATCCCAATCTTCCATGTAATGTATATATGTGATGCATAGATGATCATTAGTATTTTAAAATATATTAAACAATGCCAAATGTTTTCTCTGATATGAGGATGATCCATAAAGGGGATGGGAGGTGGAGCATGGGAGGAATGGAAGAACTCTATATAGGGCAGAGGGAAGAGAGGAGAAGGAAGGGGGTATGGGGGTAAGAAAGATGGTGGAATGAGATGGACATCATTACCCTAAGAACATGTATGAAGACCTGAATTAAGTACATGTATGAAGACCTGAATGGTGTGACTCTACTTTGTATACAACTAGAGACATGAAAAATTATGCTCTATATGTGTACTATGAATTGAAATGTATTATGCTGTCATATATAACAAATTAGAAAAAAGAAAGAAAGAAAATATATTAAAGAATTTCATTCCTTTTGCTTAGCCACAGTGATCCACTTAGGCTTAAAAACAGACAGACATGAAAAACTCACATGTGACAAAAATAAGAGGAAAAAATAGTATTTAAAAAAAAACAGGAAATGGACCTTTTTAAAGCATTACATAGAAGATGACACTTTTTTATGTATCTCTCACAAGCCTGCTTTTTGAAGAAAGTACTTACATGTCAGAATCGCATCTTCATATTTGAGCCACCAATTATAACAAGGGACAAAACAAGCATAAAGCAAAGCTTCATTCATCAAAGGTTACAGCACAACATATGTCACTGTAAGCCAAAGATATTGTTCTACCCTTACCTTTAAGATATAAGACATCCTCTAAAATGAATATGTAAAGAAAGAGAAGATGAGCGTGAGAGGTCGATGGTTATAATGACCAAATCCATTTATCAATAATTCTAAAACAACATTTGAAATGTTAGTGTTATCATAAATTACACAGAAAGAATATCATCACATTTCCCACATTAGTTTCAGGTGCAATTTCATCATGCAGAAGTCCAAAGAATACAGTACTGTGAAGAATAACGAAAACTGAAAATAACTGAAATACACACTGCATAGTAAGAATATATTAATAAATCTCTTTCTCCAGCAGAAACAAAGTGATCATGCCTTAGTTTTAATAGATTAGTTACGTGAAGGATTAAGTCAACTGTACACTTCAAAGCTCACCCCTGCACTGAATTTAATAACTGACAACTATAAATTACCCAGCATTGAAAAGGGGACCTACATAACTAGGAAGTGGCACTCCTGCTTTAGGTAATCAAAGAAGAAAAGTAGATGATTGCAGGAATTTCAGGTTAATTTCCAAGGAAAATCTATGGCCAAATTCTGAATAGAGGTGAACAATTCAGATTCAACTCAAGCATTTTCTCTCCTATTGTGTTGGGTCAAAAGTGTCCAAAAAAATCTCCTCCAATGTTCATACATCATTCTATTTTTACTGCACTAAGAGTTGGAGGCAACAATTAATCAAAGCAGAAGCATGGTGGTTAAAATCAAAACATACTCAAAATTGAGCTAAGTCTGCATCATCCACTGAAACACACATTTGATATGCTGCCTTTGCAGTATAATTCTAAAGCTTATATCATAATTGTCACAAACTTATTCTTCCCTCAATGAGATCTATTTAAAAAACAGATATTAATAAACAAGCACTTATTCTGAAAGCTAAAACTATAAGAAATTGGTTAGAGGGAGAAAAAATCCCACTATATGGAAAAACTAACACTCCACACAGTTATAGAAGCTAGTGACTGACCTAACTGCAACTATGAGAGAAAAGAAAAAACACCACCACCTTGAAATCCCACCTACTCAGATATCCAATGTCCCTTAAGGTTGTTGACAAGAAACCTCTCTTTAAAAAGACATTTCTTCCATTGAATTCTTTTCCCATTCTCACTGCAATAAATATTATTTTCATAGTTTGAACTCATGGCCTGCTCCTATAACACTTTCCTGATTTGGCTTAATAGGTCAAAATGCTCCAAAATACAGAATTGGGTCTGTTTTGTTGAAAATTCAACTCCAAATAAAGTGGCTCTCATTCGAGATGTGTGTGCATGGTTAACTAACTTAAAGGATTCTCACAATCATATTAAGGTAAACCAGAGGCACTTCAGGAGGAGGTTGGAAAAATTCAGGCAGTGCACATTAACCATGTAGGAATCTGATAAACTTTTGTAGATGGACAAAAGGGAAATAGAAAATTAAGAAACAAAAAAAAAAATCACTGAGCCTGGTAATTCAAGATTAACTGACATATATCACCTATCGTACATTCTAGCACATTCTCACAGAACTGTTTGGAATAAGCTACAAGATTAGCTTGTCAGAAGCATTTTATATCATATGTAGCAAAATTACCTCTTTATAACCTAGGGCTGCTGATGGTCTAAGTGGAGGTGCAGGTCGTAGACAACTTAAACTCCACGGTTTTATAATTTGAGGAGGCTCCAAGGGTCCTCGGGGCTGTCCAGTAGAGCTAAAAGACTGGGAAAACGTCTTATGAGATGTTGGCAATCTGCCATCTGAACCCGACCTTGGGTCACACAGTAAGACAACCACAATCACTTCATTGGGTCAGCAAAGCCAGCCAGAGAAAGGAAATGATGGGGAAACAAAAGTCTCCAGTTTGAGAACTGGCACTTTCCACTAGAGATTATGGGGTCTCTAAAGAATAGCACAAAATTGACTCAACATCCCATGATCCTGTCCTTTCTCTCTCTCTTCTGCAATTTCGTTGAAGTCAGAAGGTTCCCCCTCTAGAAAAGAGGAAAGTTGTGTACCAGGCAACATTTGAGTTCAGTGATGTGTTTAGAACTCAAACAGGTGTTTAAATAGGTTATTTTATCAGAACAACATACAGCACAGACTCAGCAATTGAAATCTAGCTAGTAGTTGGCAAAGTCAAGATTTGAACACAGATCTGAGGCCAAAGCCCATGTTCTACCACCACAATGCACAGTGCTCAAAATAGGAATTTTGGCATCACAGGAGTGTTAACAGACAACACAGCATATCTTCCATTTCACTCAACAAGTACAGTAAAATCTCATCAATTCAATTTTCATGAATTCTAAATGCAGGAACTCAGAGGAAGACAATACTGAAAGTTTATCTTTGAAGAAGGTTATTGAGCAAATGTGATAGCATGAATGAGGTTACATGGAAATGTTTAAGTACTTAGGGAAATAACCTATTTGTTTTGACTCAGCATATTATTAATATGAAAATAACAGTTGCTAAACAAAGTAAGTTTTGTTGATCATGAAAACATCTTAGCAGGACTCTCGGTTGAAAACACTTGGCTAGTAGTTATTTGGAGAATCTGAATACTGTCAAACAAAACTGCACACCTCTAAATGAAACTTTTTATTAATTTGGATGAGCCTCACAATGAGAAATCAGAATTAGTGAGGTTTAACTGTACTTCAAAATCTATGAATGAAAGACTAACCAAAGACGAAGGTTGTGCTCACTACTTTGTATTAAGTATTCGGCAGGCAAGATCTGAAGTAAGCATTCCTGGGCAGAAAAAATGGACTACTTACGGAATGAGCACTACATGACGATGATGATGTTTTGGATAATGAACCACCAGAGGCAGGTCCTTTAGTCAGTCTGGACAGGTGCTCCAGCCATTCCTGGAAGTCCTGGCTATTGTTGCAATGGACCACAACTCTCTCTACTATGTTACCTGCATCATCCGATTGTGAACATTTGAAAAGAAAAGGCAAGGAAAACCTTGAGTTTGTCTCATTCATAAATATACCTCATGCAACTAAGACTTTGGTGTCTATTTTCTGGGGTCTTCATATTCATGGATAACCTTTTCAAACTTCTATATTAGGAATAGATAAGCTATGATAAGAAAGTAAATAAATATTCATGTCTGTGTTATAAAACTGTACTTGATTTCTTCCACTTACAGAATCTTAGAAGTAGTGTAAAACTTCACTATGAACAAAATAGCAATCCAAAAATTTAAGCAGAATGTGCATCTAGTTCATAGTCTAAAGTGAGGTTCTTGTACTGGATCCCCCAATATTAAAGTCAGAATAAGATTTAGGCAAATACCAAATGATATGCTTTCTATTGGGAAAGAAGAGTACTGGTAAGGCCAGGGGTCATTATCCCAGTCTTAGATGCTGAACCACATCAGTGCAAAAAGTGCAGTCATTACATGTAAATCACACAGGCCTGGCAAAAGGAATAACAGCCCAAAATGTCAGAGAGCATTATCAAGACCTGGCATTTTGCTCAAATTGTGAAGAAAGTTTCATGGCTTTTTAGCACTTTTTTGAAACACAACCAAATCTTGCTAATTCATAGGGGGATATTAAGATTGCTGGTAAAAGTCTACATCTTGGGATCCTCTGCCATTAGGGAATAGATAACAGAGAGAGAGAAAATTACATTTACGTCAGTCCATTTTGTTATTCTTTAGCTCTCACCAGTAGCTCTTATGCAAGGGAAGATTGAAACTAATGGCAAAGCCAAGGCTTTTAAATGATCAGGTGACTTCTCTGTTCTATCACTGTACCCTAGTTATTCCAAGAAATGGAATATGCTGTGCCATGTCCACATAAAACTTTCTCATGGACTGTATAACAGAAAATAATTGCATTTATTTATTTAAACTCCACTTCATCCCAAAAAAGATTTGAAGTAGCTACATGAAAAAGTGAAAATTGCCTACCTGTGATTTCAAATGTGCAGTCATTCCCTTCAATTTCATCTAATCTAGTCACCACCATTCCTGGTATTGGTATTTTTCCCTACCAGAAAAAAAAGTAGATTCCCATTAATTCTATGATTTTATATATCTCTCTTAGATTCTTTGATCCTCTCTGAAATCACTGCTGAATTATAGGCAGATATATTTCTCTAGCCTGTTGATAGATAATGTTTCCTTGTTTAAAATTTTAATCAGACAAGGAAGCAAAGGGGAAACCAGGGTTGTGTTTGCCTAACACACCCTAAACAATGAGATCAGGATTTACAAAACAATTTACTTTTTGAACACGTTTTCACATGAAGTAGTAAACAAAGAAAAGGTTCAATTTTATGAAAATTTGCCATGGTCAGGCCAGGATATAACAGGCATTAATAACTTATAACACTTTGTATCTTGGGAGCACACTGAGGGAAGTTTAATTTCCTAAGGAGTTTAATGACTTGCATCTTAGATACCCAAATTGTGTGATGTGACTGTAATAAGACAATCACAGGAGCAGGTGCCAGCTTTGTATTTTCTCACCAATGATGATATGGACCTATAAAATATTGCTGCTAATTTATCCAACTGTAGACTTAGATTTCTATTTATACATTCAAAACCCAGTTCAGAAGCAGACCAATAGATATTCAGGACAAACTCATTACTAACACAAAGGTCTTTGATCTAATGAACATCTGTTCTGATAAGCTGTTTAATTACAATGAAGGATCAGAACATTCTGCCTGCCTTTGCTGGCTTGAACTTTTAATGCTATAGTGGAGACATTATGTCTGAATGGAAGCCTATTTCATGTGGGTCCTGCCATTTGTCTTATATGAAATCTACTAACCTGATAGATAAAGCCACTCATCCGAGGACTTGCAGACAACATTAGCAAGACATTTGAAAATAACATAAGGTATCGCTCCTCTTTTTCCTGTGGTGGAATGAAAATATTAAATGGAGAATAGAAATTGGTCATTTTTATTAAGAATTTTAGATTTTAAAAACCATACTCAACCTCAAAGCACAAAACTAGTTTAATTATACTTTCACATGGACATAAACACACAATTTCTCTCTCCTTCTTAAACATAAAGTTAAATACAAATAACCACACATGTTTCCCAAATACATAAGCCTGAGAGGTCAACAGTTTATGTAGCCAGTGCAATGAGCTAGGCCTGGGCACAAATAAGTCTCTAAGTTCACAAAACAAAAATACAATTTTACTTTGAAAAGTGGCAAAAGAATTGGTTTCTTACTCTTTTTTTCTTTCTTTCTTTTTTTTTTTTGTGATACTAGGGATTGAACCCAAGGATTTACACATACTAGGCAGAGGCCCTACCACTGAGCTACATCCCCAGCCCATGAAGTGGCTTTTGAGTTATGTTCTAATGCATGTGAATTTTTATTCACAAAATTATTTTTAATCATCAAAAATAGGATAATTAATTATATCCATATAAAACACAGAAGTAAACACACTTTTAAAAAATTTTGTGTGGTTTTGTATATGAATAGTGGTGGGGGTCAAACCCAGGGCCTCATGCATACTAAACACACACTCTAGCACTGAGCTGCACTCCTCAGCCCAATTTTGTGGGTTTTTTTTATTTACACATAATAATTGTATGTATTTATATGGTACAATGTTATATTTCATGTATACATTGTGTAATGATTAAATCAGTATAATTAGTATATCCAACATCTTAAACTTTTCTCATTTCTTTACAGTGGGCACATTCAAAATCCTCACTCTCAGCTCTTTTGAGATACATATAATGCATTAATGTTAACTATATTTTTATAGCATTAGAAGAATCTTCATATATGAGGGTTCTTGGAATCCCTTAAATAGACATGCAATTGGTAAATGCAAAATTCCCATTTGGCTTTCATGCCCAGCCATCTTAGCCACAATTGTCTGCATGCCTGTCTGTATTTACCTCCTCCTATTTGAGAAGAGTTAACACTCAGAGGCTAACTATTCTAACAAGTGCTCTACATTCTCACCAACCTTTCTCTCATATAGTTTTCTTCTGCATATATCTCCTCTCCTCCTTCCTCCTGCAGCCTCCCATGCTTTACTAAGCTTTTCTTCTTTTGCCTTTAACATATGTGGATCTGCTGTCCTAAAAGGCTTTGCTCTTCCCATGTGACTCCTTATACATAATATCTCATTTCTTGACATTTTATTGCCAAATTACTTGCTGCCTTCATTTTCTTCCCATTGATCCCTCCCTAACTGCACCCCTACTGCTTTCTCAAAGCCATCAATAACTGCCTTCTAGCAAAATCCAATGGCTTCTTCTTGGTTCTCACATTCCTTGACCTTTGAACCTTCTGGAGCACTCAGCTTACTGACAACTTTCAAGTGCTCCTCCAGGAATTTCCATAATACCACAAACCCCCAATTCTTTTCTACCCTCCTATTTGTCTTTCTTTTTTCTGGCATTTGTTCCTCCTCCTTTCACCCAAGGGATTTATCCCAAAGATGTGAAATGACTAATAGTTAGACTCATTGCATTAACCTTCCCCAGGGTATCTGCATTTTCAATGAGATTGCTTATTAACCCAAAGTAATGAATCTCTGCCAGAGACACATCTGGGAATATAGGAAGATGTTTTGGGAGAGGGAAGACAATTCTAACACCCGATAAATCATAGCAGGTGACATAATCAACCTTTCTCCCTTACCCTACTCTCTTCTTAAAAGAAATAATCTATCTTCAGCTCCTGTGCTTCTCTTTGAATATTTACCTCCTAGGAAGGCACATCTGTCAGGGACATCTAAATCTCTGCCTGTAACTCTGACCTATCACCCACATTTCCATATTATTTCAACAGCTGCCTACAAGACATCTTCACATGGATAGCTATAGTCTCTTGAAAGTTAACAGGTCTAAAATTACATTCATCATCTCCTCTAGCCCATGGGTCACCCATTCCCATTGACTTTCCCATTTAAGCATGTTTCAGAGTTGCCTCTTATGCTCTATTACCTCTACCACCACCTTGGCTGGGGGTACTTCTCACTTCCCATTCAGGTTGCCCTTTTTGTTTCTAGTCTCATCCTCATCTGATATATGTTTTCACCAGATTAAGTGTCAAACAGCCCTTTCATTATGTTTTTCTGCTACTCAGTACTCTTTCATTACTTCCTATTGCCTGCTGCATCAATCTAAACTGCTCTAGTCCAATGTCCAATGTTCTTCAAAACCTGATTCAATTAACCTTTTCTTTCATTCACTATGTCTAAAATGCTTCTTCTGATGCCCGAAGTCTAGTTTTCTTACTGCCCTACAGAAAAAAAGTCACATTCCTGTTCTCGCTTGAAATAAAAATGACCTCTACTTTATCCTCCCTTTTTCTTTTTAGCATCTTCCTCCTTGAGTCCTGTCTCTATAAGGTCTTTTTGGTTGCTCCCTTCTCTGAATTTCTATGGACTCTACTGCTGGCTATTTGGTTTGTTTTCTAGTTGCAATTTGCATTTGAATCTATTTTAGTGTGTTATTTGAAAGCAAAGCTTGTTCCTTCTCTCTATTTCCCATAGCACCTAGCAGACTGTTGGGCAAAGAAGGGGTGTTCAGTTTCTGATTTGAATGCTCAAGCATTTGTCCTTGATAGAAGGACAAATAAAGGAAGAAAAATATGAAACATAGAAGAAAAATGTTAATATTTAAAGCACTTTACCTCACATGTTCCATACTGCACCATTACTTGTGACATAAAAATCACATTTCCCAAGGTTTTAATATCTTCCCCTTCCCATGCCTGAATAGGTTCTGAAAGTATCTGTAACTCCAGCTGTTTTCTCTTTCTCAGATCTTGGCACTGTCCCTACAGAACCAAAACAGAGCACATTTTTGCAAAACAAGAATTCTTATGAAACAGATCAGTGAAAGTTATCAGACCTAACAGAAGATCAACGTAAGATGCGACATTTGCCTCTCACATTCACGAATCCCATTATTCTTCACCTTGAATTCCATGAACAGACCCATTCCTGACAGACAGAAGATCCACTATCTTTAGTCTCAAGCTTTGAGCTCCTAAAAGTTATATGAGGATGAACTACTTTTCATTTCACCAAAGCATCAAAATAAGGGTAGAGGGCTGGGGATACAGCTCAGTTGGTAGAGTCCTTGCCTTGCATGCAAAAGGCCCTGGGTTCAATCCAGCTCCACACACACAGCAAAAAAAAAGATCAAAGGATAGAAAGGGTTTGTTTGTCCCTCCTTGTAAGAGTCTAGAAGGACAAGTAGTGGAATCAGATAAAGCAGAGGCAGGAAAACAGCTGACAGATTTAGATCTGTAGATTGGTACCATGCTCTAGATCCTTGCCATCTTGTCTATCTTGGTATTAAATAGGGCTTCAGTTATTACAAAGTAATTTTATTTTTCTAGCATATCTTCACTTTCCATCAAGGTAACATCCTCATAATAACAAAAACAAACAAACAAATAAAAGCTACAAGACTTATAGAAAAGAGACTGGCAAGAAAAATGTAAATTCATTTTTATGGCACAGGGAACCAAACTGAGCTTATAATGAAACACATGCACCACTCTGCTCTGTGCAGAGGGAGCAATACTAGATTGCTATAAAAAAATACTAAATTAATTTTCCTTTCCAAAAGGATTAGGAAAAGGAGGACAACAGAATTTCATGATGACAAACTGAAAATTCAAACCAAGAAACAATTTACTGTTTATGTTCACACTGGCAAACAGTAAATTGTGGAGTGTGAACATTATATATATATATGTATATACACACACACACACACACACACACATACACACACACACACACACATATCCCTGCTTTAGAAAGTGTGAGGCTACCTTAGAGTAATTTAACAGCACTCATTCCAAATTGAATACAAAATAAGCATATGGTTAGTTATATTACTGTTTCCAAATGACTGTAATGTAATAGCTTTTTGGAAGTGATTTTTCCATAAAATCTCTGTTGCCTCATTCAGCTAAATGGATACTTGAAGAAATAAATTTATTATAAAGATACTTTCCTGCATCTATACCAAAAATAAACAGACTACAACCACCAAAGCAGGTTTTACATGATCAAAAATAAAAGCAGTTTTTTTTTTCAAAGAGGCATTTTATATTCCATTGACACAGGAAAAATAAGAAATAAATTACCACAAAATCCATGGGTTTCAGTGGGCTGTTCAATTAGGTGGAGCCATGTGAAACTGCCAGGATTTGATTGTTTTTAAGGCACAACAGCAGCGATGTTAACTTAATACCTTACTCTGGTCTTCAACTTGCTGTTTAACCATGGATATGCCAGTTACTGATCTTTTAACAGCAATATAAATGAGGTGATGGTAAACATTGCATCACAAACTTACAGCAAGGAAAATAACTGAACATTGATCCAAATAACTTAGTATGCTACAGAAATGTCAAAAATGTAGCTAAACTTAATCCATCACCAAAAATAAAATTTTCTTTGCTTTTAAAATGGCACCAAGTTGTTTTACATCAGTGGATTCAAGAACACACATTAATCATGATGTTCAAGATACAAGATTTAAGTACCTTTGGTAGCAACTTATATAAAGCAATTGTATTTAGTAGATGATAGAGTTTTTTTCCTTTTATAAAGGATTTCTTTTTCATATGCAAAGAACAAACTCAAGCCCTTTGACATAGTTGATTCCAGTACTGATGCCAATCAGTGAATGACGAGTTATACAGACATATGGTGAGGAAAGGGGGTAAAGACAAAGACAAAAGGAAACCCCCCACCTACACACCAATGCTTAATGTGGCCAAGACTTCAAATGTGATTGCTTTATATCTTTAGCCTGGCAACCTTTCATAGATAAGCATGATTTTGGGAGGACAAAATGACATGAAACAATCACTGCAATACTGTCATGAAAGGTCTGAAGACCTTTGCATAATAAAGAAAATATTACACAGAAATCATTCTTTCAGGAACAAAATACAGAAAACGAAGAGTGACCATTCTCCACTTAAAACATGACCTACCATGAGCATTTTGAATGCTACGATTGCTTTCAGAATATCCTGATGATCTGGATGAGTATCCTATCAAAGTAAATATTGAAAACAATATTAGCAGAGAACGGGTCATCAGTAGCCAGGGGTTCCAGGTGGGAGGAAAGTGTGGCCCCAAATGATAGTAAGCAAGAATTTTGGAAGGTGACAGAATCATCCCAACTGTAGTGATGATAACACAAGTCTAAATCTGTGTTAAAGTCAAAGAACAGTGAACCAAAAGAAAATTTAATTATCTAATAATTGAGATTCCAAATGTCAGTCTGTGTTTTAATCCTTAAACTAGCATAGAGTATAATGGACTTTTAAAACAGCAGGTATCACAGCATATATTTAGTAACAGCACAGTAGATATAATTATTGAAGCAAGAGTTCCCATTTCTCTTTTTTGCTGTTGTGCTTTAGATAATAAATATTTAGCAATGAATATGGTAATTAAATAATTACCTGAGGGACCATGTTAAGTCATAGCATATACCTAACCTTGAGGAGTTATATGGGGTTATACCTCACCTGAAGGGTGTATGTTAAATGTATGTAAACCTAACCCCTAGAACTCAGCTGGCATGGTAGGAAGATGCAATCTGCCCAACCGATTTTGGGTGAGAAAATACAGAGCTGAACTTGAACATTATCAGAGTCTGACTCAAGCCAAGAATAATATTGCTCATGGAAAGTAGGTTTGTATTCCTTTATAACAAAATTTGTAGTCACCCAAATCAATTGACAATTGAGAATTTCAGATTCCATTCTACTACTAGCCAGCAATCATGCCCAGCAATCAGAAATACGGATAGTGTCTCAGCACTGGTGAACTAGCAGGAAGGAGGTGTCTTATAGGATGATGGGCAATGGGAAGCAAGCCAAAGACAATGTGAACAATTGAAGGCAGGGGTAGAAACAGGCTCCACTACAAGGAAAGCCAAAATAGAGAATCTGAGCTGTGGGAGCAACTTCTTACTACTTTGAGGTTTTATTTTCTCCCCAAATTAAATGTGTATTTGTACTTCAGTACTAAGAAGTAACAGAAACTTAGGCCATTGGTTTCTGGATTTTTGTGATAAGCAAGGAGGGGCAAACCTCAAACGGTTCAGCCAACCAGTTTGATTATGGAAAGACCTCCAGAGGCCAAGACCTTTCCAAGCCCTAACTGAAATTTCATTCCAGCAGGCTTTATTCACCTGCTCCCCACTGCCTCCAGCTTTCAGGCAGGTCAAACACCCTGAGAATGCGGTTTCCCTCAGAGTATATGATTTCAATCCTGACAAATGCTGACAAGCCTGACAGCATGCAACCTTTTGCTTTAAAGATAATCAGCCCTTTTAAAACCTCAAAACCTTCCCCCAGACACAGGAAGAGCAACTAGGGTAAATGCAGCCTCCCCCAGGGGGCCCTCCTCTCCCACCCACACCTCCACACCCCATGCATAATCACCAAAGAACAGCTTAAAGAGCTATCCCTGTTGACTGGTTTTTAATCACAACAGGATTTGGGCTCTTGATGAAAAATGATTCAATGATCAGTCTTCATCACAAATCTTAATATTTACAAAAGATTATACACTGTGTCATGTAAACTGTAAGTTTATGAGCCAAAATGTGATGGGACTTTGATGTAGATATACTGGTGTACAGAGAAATGCATTAATATTGGATGCATGGATTAATCTTGAAGGAATACCAGAATCTTCCATTGTAATCCAGAGTCAGAAAGCTGAATGATTGCAGTGTTCTGGAGATTAAATATTCCTGTCTACAATGAATGTGTTGTTTGTATTTTCTGATGTTGGTTTGCTTTACCTCCCACAATACATTTGGTTAATAGACCAGAACAGAGATTTCTAGGTCTGATTTTGACTGCACCACCATCTACAGATGAGAAGGCAAAAGGAAACCTAAGTAAATATAGATTTGAAGCAAGAAACAGGACCAAGACTTGGGAAGAAGGGAGGGGGATAATAATCATGAACATTTAGTACAAAAGAAAATAGATCTTACTTGGTTGCATAAATAAGTAAAGTAGAAGCCTTGGAAGAAGGAAGATGGGAGTGAGTAAATTTTGAAGTAGACATTTTCTGGATCCTCATCAGGGCTAGTTTAGAGGCAAACTGACTGCTTTCCAGAGCAGAGGGTCATACAGGTACAGAAGCTTAGAAAAGCTTGCCTTGCCTTACCTCCATATGTCGTTCCAGCTCTTGTAAAAGAGTAACATACTTTTCTAGTCGCATAAATGGCTTGCTGAGGCTTGTGGTTAAAATAAGGATACCTGGGCTGGATGCACCTTGATTTTCCATAAATTGTTCCAGATCATCACTAGCAAAAAATGAATATAGCTTTGTTACTGCTGACTATCCCAAGTAAACAGTTGTCAATCAAACATTATTTTACTGTATTTACCACAATATAAAACCAAATAAAAATTTATTTAACTGGTCCAAAAAGTTGTTCAGTTTATTTCAACTCAATTCAACCAACATTTATTCAGTTCTTCCTTTGCCATTGGCCCTGTGCCCAGCAAGGGGACTCCAGTGGTGACCAGTCACGATCTCTGATGTCCTTGACTCAGTCAGCACTTACTGACTAAGCATCTACTAAGTGGTATGCTCTGTTCTCTGACGGGGATATAGCAATGAATGAAGCAAAAATCCGCAGGATGGGGCACCCATCCTTCAGGAGCTTGCACCCAGGGGGATGGGGCATGGAGACCATCAGATGACCTCAACTTAAGTTAAAAAAATAATATATTTTCTTAGTCACTTCAAATATTCTATGTATTTGCTGGTCAAATACTAAGATTAGCAACTCACTAAGTACTCCCTGTCACCCATTTGCAATGTTCTAGAATAAAGTCCTACATTCAGGTAACAATATGTTGTAAGACTCACCAAAAAGTCACTTAGCCTAGGATCTGAATCCAGTGTTGCAGAATACCTGAACACTTCCATAAGGCAGCAATATGTGAAAAGAGTAATAATAGCTTGTGAACTATGTCCTATAAATGTTTAACTCTCAGCCCTTTAGCATGCTTCCAAATCATCTCCTTTACACTCATAGGGGTAAGTCCTGAGACCACTTGGCCATTTTAGTAATCTTATGCCTGACTGACAACATATTTTGAATTTTTTGTTTTCTCCCTTGACTCCTTGACTTTCTTGGTTGCCCATTCATATCCAACCAGTCCCAGTTCTCCTTGGATCCATTCCCTCTGCTACACCCTAAATCCAAGCTTTCATTGCATCCAAATCTGGCTTGCTTCAATAGGCCAACTGATCTCCTAGCTTCCAGACTCTTTCAACTGCAAATCATCCTGCAGACCACGACTTAAGTCCCACTACTTTCCTACTCAAAAACCTCTGAGTTGGGTGTGGTGGTGCATGCCTGTAATCCCAGCAGCTCTGAAGCCTTGAGGCAGGAGGATCATGAGTTCAAAGCCAGCCTCAGCAACTTACCAAGGCCTAAGCAACTCAGTGAGTTGAGTGCCTACAAGGTCAAGTATTAACTTTTTAGACTCTTACTGATTGGAACAACCTTTCTCACCACTCCCCAACAGGAACCCCTATACTGAGAAGTGACCTACTTATTCTTCCTAGAGCACATCTTATGCTGTGGTTCCAAGTGTAGTATGCTGCCACAGGTTGCAAAATGTGTTTAAAGAGACTTGTTATTGGTATTCAAGTATGGGGGATTGGGAATAGAGTGGATCACAGTTGATTTCTATTAATAATAAACACCTTTCCTCCTTGGGCATCTGTAAGCAACTAACACATCAGTAGCTTGGAGTCATGCATTAGCACACGTATGTCAGGGAGAAGAAAGAGGGGTTGGGGTTGTAGCTCAATGGCAGAGCACTTGCTTAGCATGTGTGAGGCACTGGGTTCGATCTTCAGCACCACATTAAAAATAATAAATAAAATAAAGGTATAAAATATTTTTAAAGAAAAAAATGATGTAGTTTGATCCCCAACACCATAAAAATCAATTTAAAAAGAAGAGAGAAGAAAGGCAGGAATGGGCATCTTACTGAACACTAGATCACATTTGGGGAGTCCCATCAAACCATGGCTACTAAGTATTTTATTTCAGTTTTGTCCCAGAAGCAGCTGAGAAGTAGGAAGTGCCCTGGGCTTAGAATCAGAAAACAGATTTGGTGACCCTGGGTGAGTTGCCTGAGCCTCAAATGACTCATTCGTAAAACCTACTTCCTAATAAAATTGTGCTGATTAAATCGGTGGGGTTTGTTAAGGCTACAATTTGATGCTAGGATCTTTACATGAATTCATTCTTGTTTAACATTCACAACAGTATTTCAACATAGGCATTATCTCCATTTTACAGATGAGAAACCTGAGAATCAGGAAGGGTGAGTAATAGTTATGATGGGGTTCATAACCAGGTCTGAAGCTAAAGCTTCAGGTCATTCCATGTTACCGCCCTGCCTGACTGCAGAAAAGGATTGTTTAAACTATAGTCAATAGATGTATTATTATCTTTATTCCAAGACACCTTGCCAGAATCTGATCTTTAAAAATTACTAGTACCCATGATTCCCAAATTAAAATTCAATTGATATTTAATTTCCAACCAAGAGCATAAATCACATAGAGGTTTAAAAATTCATCACATGTAAAATATAATTAGAAAAATAACTCAGATTTGGAGAGTACATTTGAGTAGAAATGTAATTTGGAGAAAATCACTATCCTAACTTCTTTAGAGTTAACAAGTCCTATGTTTTCTTTCCATGACTATATGACTGCTATATCTTCAATAGTCTACTCTAATTGATGAAAGAGTTACAGCAATTAAAAGAAAATGCTTATAGGTATTTTATTATTACTTTCCATTCAACATACTAACTTCTAGGCTTACTAAATGTTATTAAACAATATATTTTTTTGGTACCAGGGATTGAACCCAGGGGTGTTTACTACTGAGCCACAACCACAGCCCTTTTTATTTATTTATTTTTAAAAATAAATTTTTTACTTGTAGAAGAACACAATATCTTTATTTATTTTTTTAATGTGGTGCTGAGGATGGAATCCAGTGCCTCATATGTGTGAGACAAGTGTTCTACCAGTGAGCTAGGGCCCAGCCCTTTTTATTTTTTGAGACACAGTCTTGCTAAGTTGCTTAGGGGTTTGCTAAATTGCTGAGGCTGGCCTTGAACTTGTGATCCTCCTGCCTCAGCATCTGGCACTGAGATTATGGGTACGTGCCACCACACCTAGCTTAACTAATTTTTAAAGTTTTCAGTATAATATGAGCTCAATATCTCAGATTAAAACAGAGGCTATTGGACAGACAAGAAAATGTTGCTACTGCAAAAAAGAACACAACTGTTTTATATGGCCACTGCCTATTATAAGCAGATCCTAAAAAGCACATTTCACTTAACCAAATAAGCTTAGTACACAAATTAATATCATTATATGCAAATATGTATCATTATACTAAGAACAATCTGTCTTTAAAATGCAGTTTATAATTTTAAATGATCTGTTTGAAACAACAGTGGGTTAAGACTTACTTTTCAAGCTTAATGTTCTGTATATGTGCTGTGATAAAATAAAAGAAGTTCTCAATGTACAAATGATATTTAAAACTCAACATGCATTTATCTAATAGAATACACAGCAGATGGGGCTCTTTTATATTCCTGGTTGGATAGGAAGGCAGGAGAAAACTATTCTACCTCATAACACTACAAAACTTAACCATCTCATACAACAGTGTTTCTGTGGAATCTTTGTGTAGATTTTCAATTTGAAAGGTCATGACTCTCCCTAAAAGAGGATTAAAGATTCCTGTTTCCCATCGCATTCCTTTCCCACAAGCCTGTCATGGGAATTTCTGTGGCCTGGACAGATTAGGTGAAGCAAGAGGAGTTGGAAGGCCTAACTTCTGGCAAGTGAAAAATCCCAGTTTTGCTACTCACACTGGACTGGGTGGATCCCTATTTTCCCTTTTTCATTTATCCAGACCCAAGAGTAAGCTGACTGCTTCTTTCTTGTCCCTACCACATTTTGTTTGCAATCATTCTCTTTTTTCCTGGTTTCTCAAAGACAGTAGCAAAACAGGATTGAGGCTCAGAATTTTTCCTATGCTCCTTACCCCCAAAGCAAATACACAGCTTTTGGGGGGTTTTCTGAAAGTCGTCACTGCTGGCAACAATGGTAAACAGAAGGTGAATAAAACTAACAAGAGAAAAAGTACACAGGGTGTTTGTGGAAGTTGCTACAACACAGACGGAAGTGAGATCCACATCTGTCTTAATCAACTCTTGTCCTCTCCTGGCTTTCTTGGAACCTTCTCCCTCATGGAAAGAATGGATATTACACCACTACACCGAAGCACAGGAAAGAAGTGGGTATTTTTGTAAGGGAGAAGTTATTCCCAGGAAGGGACAGAAGCTACCTAAGCAAGTCAGCAGGGGAGAGATAGGGGAAATCCCCAAAGGCCTCACCCAGGGGATAACAAAAAGCTGGGGCAACCATACGAATATATGTAAATATGGGGATACACCAGGTTGGGGTCAATTACATGTCCAAATTTGGGCAACATGTTACTGCATTTTTATCTCAGCATCTGCATGCAATCAAACAATTTTAGGGTTGGATGTCTTGTCATCGTTGACTGTTGTGAACATTTCTGGTTTGAGATTGCCACCTACAGACCAAAAGAAAGAAGTTACCTGAGCATCAAAGATTCAGCAGAAGGAGGAACTCAAATCCACGGATGTCCCTATTTCAGCCAAAATATTCATCAAAAATAAAATTTTAATCTGAATTTTCTGTTAATTTCATCCAACTATGTTTTGCCTCTAATATGTCTTCATATATTTACAAGAGACTCATCGAAAATACCAGCGATTACATTAGAAGCATATCTAAGGAAAATCCCAAGTATTTAAGTTCAAATTTCATCCCTTTTATGTAAATGAATCAGAATGTAGGCATTTAGCTTTATGAAGACTTCAGTGAGTCTTCCATCATTTCAGGGTGTATAATAAAATTCTCAAAAAACAACACTAATTAGGGGCTGGGGTTGTAGCTCAGTGGTAAAGATATTGTGTCCACCTAAAACTAAAATAAATATTTTTTTAAAAAAACAACACTAATTAAAATCAAGCAAACAGTATTGTGATTCTCAAAATAATTGAGAAATCTTTAAATCCATTGGGTAACAAATTTTAAATCATTAAAGTTGAAGGCATCTTTAGTTATAAAATTAAATTCTTAACATAGGTAAATGCAGAAAATATTATTTAGCACACAGGGCTACAACAGAAACTTCTCTGAAACACCACAGAG